AATTTCGGAGATTTTTACTCAATGGGGCGGGGGGGGCAATGGGGCGGGGTCGGTAGGGTTGTGTTGTTGAGTTTGGGTTGATTTGGGTTGGTTTCGCTCATTTTTGCGGTATTTTTACAATTTTTGCATTTTTTATGTGACACTCGTCAAACCGGGATTTATTTTTTGCCTTTTTTTTCTTGGGTTTTTTTCCTAGGGTTTTTTTTCCGGGGGTTTTTTTTCCGGGGGTTTTTTTTCCGTGGTTTTTTTTCCAGGGGTATTATTTCCTAGATTCTCTAAAACCATAGCTTTAATGACAATTATTCTTGTTTCTAGGGAATTGTATGTCCAAACGTACCTTAAAAATGTTATATTTTTATTGATTTTACTTCTCACAAAATATATAGTAAAAACCGTGACAAAGTAATGTAATGTGTTTTTCAAAAAAAATAAGATTGCATTTTTCATGCATGGTGCAAACTGATACTATCACTTAAATGCACCAAGTTTTCGCTTTGTGAACATGTCCATTTTTGAGTGATTATTACTGTTTTTTATATTTTTCAGATTTTAAAGTTCATTTTAATGAATAGTCTTTGTTTTATGTTATCATATTAAATTTTTATTGTTTAACTTATATGTATTGTTATTAGAGAATTTACATTAAAAGTTACATATTTTTATTTCATTTACTGCTGACAAAATATGTATATGAAAAAAAATGTGACAAATTATTATTAATATTTTTCTAAAACTGTCATATAATAAAGGACATAGCGAATGTTCCAATCATGAGGAGGTGAGAACATCTGACTTTTTAGAAGATTTTGCCGACTGAAGATTCAGGAAAAATTATACTTAGTGCAAATAGTTTTTTAAGAGTCGGCATTACAGTCGGCATTTGTCGGCAGCTAATAAAACCTTCGAAAATGCCGATTGGAAAAAAGGCTCGGGATTGACACCCCCATTCCAAACTCATTTACGATAAATCTGGATTTGTTATGAGTATTTTGTTTTTTATATCATCTGGCCATTTCATTTCTTTTACGAGCTACGCCTTTTTAATGAAACAACGCTATGATTATGTTACCATTAGTTTAATCTAAGATTAGTTTAACCAGTTATGTATACAAAACTGGTTAAACTAATCACTACTTATTAGTATTGTAATAAGTTATTACAATAGTGCATTTCAGTCAAATGACCACTCTCTTTTACTTTCTCTATGAATTCGACCAGGCCTGGGTTATAATAATAATAATAATCTAGGGAAATTTCTCAAGATCTGGGGAATTTTACATCACATTAGGAAAAAAGGAATTTTTTATGATTTTTAGAACAAATTAAGAAAATTTTTAACTTTCTAATTAAAAACGAGCATTTTTTAACGCAGGTATTTACGTATTAAAAACGAATCATATCAAACTTAAAAATATGACCGAAAATAATATTTATTGTCTCTAGGGTCGGTAAACTCATATCGTCCCTAGGGCCGCTAAACTTGATTTTTAAAGTTTTTCACAATCTAGACACTAAGAAGATTATAATCTTCTTACTAGACACCTTTTACTGACATTTATGTATTTTGGCATTTGACATTTGAGATTTTCAGACGTTTGTGTAAATCAAAATAAAAACGGACAACAAAAGTATAAAATAACAATAAAACCTAATTTAAATTTTGTAATAAAGTGAAAATGAATAGTAACTCGGACAGCGACGAAAAATTTACGAATACTTGACCAGATTTGAAAAAGAGGAAGCTGGCAATGTTAAGACAATGCGTTGCAACGGTACGAAAAGTGCTATGAATTAGGTATTTAAAAACTGGAAAAAGGATCAAAAAGCCAAAAACTTAACAGAAAATGTATTAGTTGCTTATCTATCGGAAAGATCAAAGATAATTCTAATGAAACATCAACTTCTTATCTGTAGAAATAGGTCTTCAAATTCTGGTACTATTCACAATTGTGCTCAAGGCATAATTAACATTAATTACAACAATAAATAAATTCGTAAATTGTTACTAAAGTTTTTTTAGAAAATTCAGATTACCTATACGTATTAATAAAATTAAAAAAAAAATAATTTGTTTGATGCTAGGCGAAAAACAGATGTGTCACACATTCAGAAAACGCATTAGCAGCCCTTAGCTATCAACTCGCTTCGCTCGCTCGGGCATTTAATAGCCGCGGGCTGCTTAAGCTAGTTTTCTGCCCTTGAGACACAATATACTATATAGTGGTATTAATATCTCATGGCGGGTGACCTTGAGAGACGCTGACAGACGCCATTCAATTTAATAAATAAATGGAAACTAAAAACATCCGCCACTTCCATAGACCTTTAAGTTAACTTAAATGTCTATGGATGCTTTCCAAATCTGTCATCTGTCAACTAATATAGTAAAGCGTTTTTTTCTTTATTTTATGAAATATATTGTAACATTAGATAATGACTGCAATTGAAGACCCTGCTGCAAAAAGGAGCTAACTACATAAAAGTTATTTTTGAGTCATATTTGCATTAAACAATGCAGAATAGTCTAGTTCACAGTTGTAAGGGTGTAAAAGTCACTTTTGTAAAAGTTACCCCCTTTTTGCAGCAAGGTCTTCAAATGTTGAGTAATGATCTGTAAAATATATAATGGATTTCAGTAAAAAAAAGAATAGAATCTGTGTAGAATCCGAATTTTGCTGTAAAAATGTACCTAAAGGTTTTTATTTCATATTTTTCTTGTGTATGGCAAAATATGTTGATTTACTGCTAATACAAGTATATATCATATTATGAACAAGTTCTAAAACTTCTAAATGTGCTTTATTTCAGACAAAAGGCTTACTTATTTTAAAAATATGCAACATTTTTCTTCTATAATTTTTTTATTCTTTCTTTCAAGAGAATTGGACTTCACGTTTCAACTCGCGTTTCAAATATTGGAGAACGTTGTAGACGATCTGCCGCCCTTGGATGTGGATGACTTCTTTTTTGCCGTTATTCATTTCGTATAACAAATATAATAATAGAACAAATATAATTTTATAACAAAATTTAATATAATATTATAACAAATATAATATTAGTTATAACAAATATGATATGACAAATATGATATAACAAATATAATAGAATTTCTAGCCTATAAATATCTTTAAATATGTCAATAAATATCAGCTGATGCTAGCATTGCCAACCCTGGGGTAGTATGTTTTTAGGACGGCGAGTAATAGCGCGATTTGACGGATTTGTGACGTTTGCGCGCCCAAGGTCACCCGCCATGAGATATTAATACCACTATACATTCAAATTTAATAAAAGATGACAAAAAAAAAGAAAATGTCAAAAGACGACAATTTTAATAATATAAAGGATTTATTTAAAAAAACACAAATTTTAAGTCATAATAATAAAAAACCAAAAAAAAAAACACTAAGCACATAAGAAAAGGTTTACTTTTACAAGTAAAAAGTCAATAGGGAGACAAAACCCAGCCTGCTCAAAGTCACTCACTTTTGGTACTAGAATTTACCATGGAATCAAAGCATTCTTTACAAACATTTTTCCTGTGCTTCATGCACATGTTTTTGGCACACCTTTTACTTTCTGCCTTGGACAAATTACACATATGCCCTTTTTTACTGGCAATTGAGGTCTTGCAGTAATACCTCATAATTTGGCAATTATTGGGCGGAGATGTTTTGGCATATTTGTATTTGTTGCTTACATAAAATATTAGAACAAACGAAAACAAGCAACACATAACCCAATGCTTTCAAGATAAAAATGAATATTTTGTCGTGCGTTCCAATTGCTTTTTTACAGGGCAGTATTTAATGTGAAGTACCTACTAACAAAAGTTGAAAAAATCAAATTATCAAATTAATGCAAAAAAATGGGAAGGCGCACGGGGTGTCCACAGCACCCAGAGCATGTTTAAAACAAATTTGAAGTTAATGTAATATGACTGTTAATACTTCTTTCTTAATAATCTGTGCAATACTTTGACAGGAAGGTACTAAAAGTAAGCGCCATTTATTTGAATTGAAGTGAGACCGGTAGCTATATTTAGGATGCTGTGGTGTTTTGTACACCCTGCATGCCTGCTTAAGGGTTAAGCATCTACACCTGAAGATTACAACCTAATGACATTACCATCATCCTCAGAAGAACATCAACACATTAAGTAAAAAGAAATTGTGCACACAAAAGTAGTTATTGTTGACTGAGATTTATTCAGACATGCATTTCTGTTAGTTACACAGATTAATTTAAATATAGTTAATTAATATGCATACCTAATTATATTTAAATTAAAAAAAGTTCCAATGAAACAATTTTTGACATACTTGTTTAGGGAAATATAGGGATTTTTTTTGTACAAAAAATAGGAAAATAAAAAAATATTATCTGGCAACCCTGGAGTGCGTTCGAAATAAGAGTTAGATATGGTATAAGGATAGGTATATAATCACGTGACTTTACATTATATCTGACCTCCTTGTTATTTTCGAACGCCGCGGAGCATATACCTGTACCTAAACTTTATGTTTTAGTGTTCTAAAATCAATTGGTTTTGCTTGTTATTTGACTGACTACATATAAATATTAAATTATTAAATTTTAACCCTTTAGTTATATGAATTATTCAAGTTTTTGTGATGGATTTTGTTTTGTTTTTTAGAATTGATATTTTTTAAATAATTTTTTATATAAGGTAAATTCTTTTATTTTAATGTTTTTCGTTTTTGTTTTATTGAATTTTAAACAGTTATAAATAAATTATATGAAGGTAAATACAAATTATTGTTTGATGTACCCTATGCGCATGACGGGTAAAACTTAACCAAGTCTAAAGCTTGGACAACCGAGAGTGCACTCTAAGCATATACTTGCTGTTTTCGAACAGCTGACAGTTGCATATATCTAGGTATATACCAGAGAATTCGAACGCGCAAGGTAAACTTGAAGTGTATCCAGAGTGCACTCTTGCGAGTTTTCGAACGCGCTCCTGGGTTAGTTACCTTCATAGACCTTGTTGACTTTCTTTATCGTTTCCAATATATCAGAAACAGAATATGTTGATAAAAATTTAAAAGAGTCTTCCACTGAATCTTCAAATTTTCCAGAATTAATACCCTTTTCAATATAAGGTTCCACTTTTGATTGTCTAGCATTACAAATTTTTAAATGCTTATTTAACTTATGGGCATAACAAGTACTTAAAAAAATTAAGTTAAATTTAATTTGTCATCCTTAAAACTTACTTTAAATTACTGTGTTCTATCTAAAGGACACACTACTCTACTCTTTTTATCCTCTTCAGGAATTTCTTGAATGTCTTTGGGTTTTAAATGTTCACCACAATATTCTTCTCCTTCTTTTACATACATACGACAGTTTCGTTTTTTGCGAGTAACAAAAAACTTGCAAATTTTTTGGGGCTTCTCCATTTTCAAATTAATACAAAATAACACTGTAAAATAATAAAAACATGAAAATTAACCTTACTTTAATGACATTTGAATGTGGCAGTTCCACATCAGTGTTGCCAACAGTAAAATATTAAAATTCTCAAAAACCTAAACAAAAATTCTCCAGAATTCTCCAACTTTGCCAAAAAAATCTCCAATACTTTTAATGGACAAAACAAAGAGGTTTGTATGGACACAAAATGCAAAAAATTTAAAACAGTTTATTTAAAAGAAAACAAAAAAAAATAAATAAAAAAACAATTTTGTAATATGAGGCTTTAATGCCTTTTTATATACTAAACATTTTCTTTTAACATGGAAATAACAAAAAAATTTCCCGAAAGTAGCTGTAGGTACAGATCAAAATAAGTTTGACGGGCACATTTTAGGATAAACTGTAGAAGGCCTTTTTCTATGGTAGAAGGATTTAGATAGTAGTCAATTCTATCAACTATTATTTCATCAGTCTCATTGTTATATATTTTTTTGGTACCTATTTGTTTTAATACATTATCAGGGAGGAGGTAGTCCTTACAGCATAACTGTAACCGTTTAAGGCTAAATCTTAAGATAATTATGTATAAAAGATTGTTTTTAATAACGGCCATTTCATCCTTGTTTTTGATTTTATCACAATCATAATACTAAATATATGTGTATACACGTTGGTAAACGGAAAAAAAGCCCCTGGAAAAAAAACCATGGAAAAAAAACCCCCGGAAAAAAAAACCCCCGGAAAAAAAAACCCCTAGGAAAATAAACCTACAGGAAAAAATACCCCCTTACAATTTTTTTCGGAATTTTTTAACAATTTTTTTATATATTTTTTTAACTTTTTTAGAATTTTTTTACAATTTTTTTACAATTTTTAGCATTTTTGGGCATTGATTTTTGCAATTTTTTTTTATTTTTGCCAATTTCGGGGATTTTTACTCAATGGGGCGGGGGGGGCCAATGGGGCGGGGTCGGTAGGGTTGTGTTGTTGAGTTTGGGTTGATTTGGGTTGGTTTCGCTCATTTTTGCGGTATTTTTACAATTTTTGCATTTTTTATGTGACACTCGTCAAACCGGGATTTATTTTTTGGCTTTTTTTTCCTTGGGTTTTTTTTCCTAGGGGTTTTTTTTTCCTAGGGGTTTTTTTTCCGGGGGTTTTTTTCCCGGGGGTTTTTTTTCCGTGGTTTTTTTTTCCAGGGGTATTATTTCCTAGATTCATATATTTAAAGATCTTGTACATTTAGCTCTAAGACTCCTATGTTTACAACACTCCAACGCTGACGTTTAACGTGTATACACGTTAAACGTCAGCGTTGGAGTGTTGTAAACATAGGAGTCTTAGAGCTAAATGTACAAGATCTTTAAATATATTTAATGTATACATTTTCTAACCTTCTTTATCTCTGCATTTTCACCGATTTTTTTTTTAAATATGTGGATGGGGTGTAACAAAGTTCCGACCGGTCAAATTCTTGCAGGGTACCTAACTTAATTAAAAAATGACTAGTACAACGCACCCAACCAATACTTTCAATCATTTTTATTCTGTATTTTACTTCCCCAGACCGCAAAATCACATTCCCTGCACATGCCAGGAATATTCCCAGGAATATTCCAATCGTCCCAGAATATTCTCAGGAATATTCCTGGCATAATCAAATGTCCGCTTTTTGATTAACCCAGGCATCATAAAAAGAATATTCCATATATCTGCCTGCAGAAGAAGTATTGTTAGGGAAATATTCCTTGATATAATTTGGGGATTATTCCCAGCCCATATTGCCTCTTATACCCAGGAACTTAACTTAAGTATAGCCATTATTGAGTTACTGAGTAGATCAGTCCCACTCTAATCATTGTTTGGCTGTGTTACACAGACGCACATCTCCAACTAATATTATTAACCTATCGGTATATATAGTTATCAAGCGTGCGTAAGCAACGGTGAGAGGTATTGCAACTAAAATAATGAATATTCACTGGGAATATTCTTAGATGATGCTTGGAAGTTTTAGAGGATTATTCTAGGAATATTCCCAATGAATATTCCTAGAATGAAGCAAATAATTCCTAGGCGATACGGAATATTCCTGGAATATTTTCGAACCTTCATTGCAGTCTGGGTCCCTGTTAAAAATCACCCATAGAGACCAATAGAAACCAATAAAAAATCAGAATGGAATGAATTGGTCTTTATTGGGCCTATTGGTTTCTCAACAGAATGAGCATTGGTTTCTATTGGCAATTTCCGTACTGGAAAATGCCAATAGATTACCTAATGGTCTGAATTGCCCATAGAGCCATATCAGGTTAAAACATGGCCAAGAATTGCCCATTACCTTTGGAAAAGTTTTGCCAATAAATGTACTATGTAGGACTGTATATTCCTATGGTATTTGTGCAATCGCGATGACCAAATTGTGCCCAATAATATGCCAAATCAGTTTGGATAAATTAGGTAGGTTACCGTTGCAACGCGTTGGTTTAATTTTGGAAATGTTTGGGCATGGAAAATTGTGCCCAATAATATGCCAAATCAGTTTGGATAAATTAGGTATACCTATAGGCAGTGATGTAATGTATCGAGATACATGTATCTAGATACTGTATCTAGATACATTTTATGTACCTAGATACGTATCGAGATACTTAAAAAAATCAGGATCTACTTTAGTATCTAGATCCTTTTGAAAGTATCTAGATCCTTAGATACAAGATACATTTTATTTTACCCATTTTATTTTACCCATTTTTCTTCGTTCTGATAATTTTGAATGTGTACTACAAATTTTGTAGTAAGCTTTCATATCACGTTGGTACATTTGGCGTTTTCAACTTAAAAAATATATAATCTTCCAAACATTTTTTTTTTAAATAGTGATATATCACTATATTATTAGCTTTACTTTGCAAGAAGAATTAAAATCGCGTATGTAGCCGTTGTGGAGATATACACTTAAATGTATTTTTTTTTATAAATTAATGCGCAACAGTAAGCTTAACATGTGTTCTAGTGAAAAATACCACAGCAATTCGCCATATATGTCTATATATATATAAATATATATCTATACCTATAGGTATATATATATAAATATTGATGGTTTTCCGGGATCTGCTCCGTGTTGTCGGTTTTTGGTTCTTAAATGAACCGTATGTAGGACGACGTTTCGGTACAATCTTATGTACCATCTTCAGGTCTTATGTGCTGGGCTGCTGTTGCTGCTCTGCTGCGAATTCATACATATAACGCCAGTGGAAACCTAAAGCAGCAGAGCCGCAACAGCACCCTTGTGGAAATTTTTCTCTGAGAAAGTCTTACTTTCTCTGAAAAAGTCTGAATAATACTTATTAAGTCGGAAAAAGTCAGAATAAGACTTATTAAGTCGGAAAAAGTCTGAATAAGTCTTATTAAGTCAGACTAATAGCAAGATTTGGGAGTCTTCTGGAACTTCCAGACTGGAAGAGTTAATAAGACTTTTTAAGACTTAATAAGACTTTTTGTAGAGAAATGGTAGGTACCTACGGAGATAAAAATAAATATCCGAAATAATTCATAGAGGTTGTATTTGGTTATCGTAAAATAAAACACATAGAAAAGTATTTATTAACATTTTTGCTGTTGTTATAAGCCAAGTTTATTGCATAATTACCTATATAATAACATAGGTAAGATGTAATAATTAGGTATAACAATTATAATTTTATACATACGATGCGCTTGACATGCATGCTTCCACCATAGAAAAAGGAGTTGCCACTGTACGTTTTATTTTAATAGTATCTTTTGAAACACGCAAATATTTACCTATCTAAACATTGTTACAAACAATAGACGTAAGACGTAATATCGAGAGACCAGCTTAGCTAGCTGACCAATTAGAGCACAGCTGACCTGTCAGTGGGACACAGTGTTGCCGTTTGCAAGTATTTTACTCGAAAATCGGGTATTTTCATAATATTTGCGGGTGATTTGCAAATTTCTATCAAAATAATAATAAAAGAAATTTTCAGTAAATAATATTGTATATTTACTAAATATTCACAATTATTTTATTCTATCTTGTTACATTTTTATTATTATTTTAGTATTTTGTAATTTATGGTCAGGAACTTTTATGGCAACACTGTACGTAAACACGAAGATCAACCATGATACAAAGATGAATGAAACACGAAGATCAACCATATTTGTCTTATGAGTCTATCGAAAATATCATGTCTATAGACTTAATATCAATTAATATTAACTCCTTTTTCTATGTTGGAAACAATGAAAGCATGTTAAGCGCATCGTATGTATAAAATTATAATTATTACACCTTACCTATGTTAGTATATAGGTAATTATGCAATAAACTTGGCTTATAACAACAGCAAAAATGTTAATAAATACTTGTCTATGTGTTTTATTTTACGATAACCAAATACAACCTCTACGAATTAATTCAAATATCCGAAATAATTATTTCGGATATTTATTTTTATCGCCATGGGTACCTACCATTTCTCTACTAAAAGTCTTATTAAGTCTTAAAAAGTCTTATTAACTCTTCCAGAAGACTCCCAAATCTTGCTATTAGTCCGACTTAATAAGACTTATTCAGACTTTTTCCGACTTAATAAGTCTTATTCTGACTTTTTCCGACTTAATAAGTATTATTCAGACTTTTTCAGAGAAAGTAAGACTTTCTCAGAGAAAAATTTCCACAAGGGCAGCCTAGTAGATAAAACCTAAAGAGGGTACATGCAGGGCCGGCGCAACCTATAGGCAAACTAGGCAAAAGCCTTGGGCGGCAAAGTCAGGGGGCGGCAAAATCAGGGAGCGGAAAAAATCAATTGGGTTAAAATATAAAAATAAATAAAAATTGGTTGCGACCAAGCTATAAGTTCGAATTTAAAAAATGTAAACACTTATTAAGAATAATTATTGCATTTACTCAGAGGTTATCTATAAAGATTCTTTAAAGAAATTTCACTGTTGTCATTCTGTATTAATAGAGATTAAATTGAACTCCCTCTATAAGTTGGAGCGAGAAGACTCTTACC